AAATTCTAGATCCTACTTGCCCCAAAACCCGTAGCGGGTTTTTTAAATGCAAAACCTTCCTCGCATTCAAGGGTAGAGGTAGGTTGGATTTAGAATCTACATCTAATTTCTTATTATTTCTTGTCATATATAAGTAATAAATAAGTAAAATAACAAAAAATAAACAATCAAATTTCCAATTATTTGATTAAAACATGTACGGAACATATAAACTATTAATTATCTTTCACGCAAAATTTAAAATATTATTAAATTCAACATATATATTTTCCAATAATATGTGGATCGGGGAGGGTCAGGTTTAGCCTAATACTATACCCTACCCGTACCCATACAGGTTATAGAATACCAAAACCTGTCCCCACCCCTGATATGGACGGGTACCCACCGGGTAGGGTAGAATTTATCATCCCTAAAGATAATCAACCCTTTAACCCGCGACTCAGTCACTTGGGGTGAGCATTTGATTTATTTGATTAAAAACCTATCCAAATAAACCAAAATTTTATAAACCGACATCATAAAAGGGAAAATCAAAGTGAAGCAGATTTTTTTTAAATACCAAAATAACCAAAACTGGAATTTTCGATTATATGATGAAATTTGATTAATTTGATTTTCTCAGTTAACTGAATTTCCAATTCTGAAAACTGTTCAAATAATCGAATTAACCATACCGAATAATGTTCATCTTTACAATCATTAAAATGGTACCTTGTCCGGTTCAAGTCCAACAACATTGATGCATACAAGACCCAAGTTGGTCATATTTCAGGTTATTAATTTCCTCCTCCGTTAATGGTATTTGAGAACCTGTTGCAGAATGTGGGCAGCAGAGTTTTTCTTAGGCGGGAAAAGAAAGGGCTCTCCTATAATTGACAACAAAGGTCTTGCTTTTAAGTCATTTCTGTGATGGGTCCACCCTACGACTGATCAGTGGTGTTGGTAAATGTATGTCCTTGATTCTTTGGGTGCGTACTCAACAAGGTTCATTCAGGCAAATAATGTATCTTCATGTTGGATAGAAAAGCTCAAGGACTTTGTGGGTTTCATCGTAGATTCCATGTAATTTAAAAACTTCTGTTCTGTCCCATATTCTTCCCAAAGGCCAAAACTTCATCACCCGATACTACTGTTCAATTATCCATGAATTAATGCCTGCAGTTTTCAATCCTTCTCTAAACAGGAGAAAAATAAATAAAAGCTATGAATTAAAGGCTGAATATCTCAATTTTGGAGATTCAGAGATTGCACGCATTGATCCCTTAAATAAATTTAAGCTTCAAGCAGAGTGTAGACCCCTCCTCCGTTTTCAGAGTATTAATATAATAGTATGGATGAAAATGACAAACAACACAAAAATGGACTCCCTCACCCATCTTCTTTTGTATTTACATTTCATGCTAGAGTTAATCTGAGGATCATTTTTGTGCATAGAGACTAACTTGAAGCACCACAATATATAAGCACCCTACATAAAATGGATTGAAGATTTTCACTTATTTTTCTTCCATAATTGAGCTATGATACTTCTCCATGGGGAAACTTTGTTTTCATTATCATTTACATCAAAAACAAATTTAAAGGATTGATAAAAAACAACAAAAGTATTTGTTGCCAAATAGATGAAAATACTACTGAAATATCCCATGTGACCAAATTGTTGCATAGTTTATTATGAAAAAATAGGACCTACAACTTGCTTTAGCCAAAATGGAGTCCCAGTTGGCGACCTGCCTCTACCGCCGACCTAGCGACCTACTTTTGCTGGCGACCTGTCTTTACCGCCAATCTGGCGACTTACTTCTGCTGCCAACCTGGCGACTTGCCTCTATCGCCAACCTAGCGACCTGCCTCTGTTGCCAACTTAGCAACCTACCTCTCTAGAAGCTTGCCAGTTGTCTTCAAACCTTCCGAGATCACGCTGCGTAACCGTAGCCCTTATCCTCATCCTACCCGAATAAGAGGGAAACGGTAAGCCTTATTAACTGGCACATTATCCTCCTTCCAAAGCAAAATGGACCCTTACGTCATGGGCTGAGAAATCCATGAGCGTTTCGCGAGACTCACGTCAACCCAACTATATAAGGGCATCAACCCCTGAGACCCAGGTGGATGCGCAATTTAGTTCTTGCAGGTCTCCAACTCTTTCACATTTACCTATTTTAAAAATCTTTGATTCGCTAACTTAAGCATCGGAGTGCCCACCCCAAGTAAAGCAACCCGAGAACTCTGACACTATTTCCTTGTAGGTCACATCAGAGCCACATCTCCAGCTCGTCACCACTTAGCTAGACATCAGAACCACCTCTCCATCTCGTCACCACTCAGTTAGGCGTCAAAACTACATCTCCAGATCGTCACCATTTAACTAGACATCAAAACCACCTCTCTAGCTCCTCACCATTCAGCTCAGTTAGACTTCCAAGCCACCTCTCCGGTTCATCACCTTTCAGCCAAGCATCTGAATCACCTGTCAACTGGGAATTACCAAAATGTACATCATCTCAATGTGCCGACCTCAAAAAGGACTACCGCTGAACAACTTATCCTACAATACAGTTCTAAGTTGGTTCCAAATTTAAGAAGGCGAAAACAGGAAAAGGAATATGAGCACATTTCTTCTTTCCATTTTCATTTTTAAGCTTGATATTCCCATGTAGTTGTATGTACTATGGTGTGGTCATAAGCTCACAAAACGGATGTAATACAAAACTAACATGAACGTTGAAAAGAAGCACTCGCATGTGTGTATGCTCGAGATATGGAACACTAGTTCAGTTATATGATTGAAATTACCAGTCTACCACGTTTTCAGCATTTCGCACGCGCTTGCAAATCATGCAGGCAGCACGCACATGCTATGCCTAATTGCCTATACGCCATTGCGATTTGCCATGGGCTGAGATGAGATGTGATATAATATCTATATGTCTGATACCATTCCTGGTTTCTTATTGTTTCATTATTAATTTCTCCTACCTACCTTTACCTCATTCATCCACTTCCACGATCCAACACACACTCTCTCCCCCTCTCTCTCACCACCTTACCTTTCTTCCAATTTCTTCTATGTTGAGTTGAGAACTTATAGATTTGACATATCCACACCACACGTAGACGGTAGACGGATCTTTCAATAGAGTCATATCTCATCCTCATCCATCTTCTACGTAGTCAAACTACATTATCATTATCATATGATATCATCTAATGTTTCTGATTCCTTTTTTTCTTGTGATAATAATATATAAGGGTAATTTTTGGGTTTAATATCAATAAAAGTAATATTTTTAAAAAAATTTCAAAAATAGGTTAATTTTTTAAAATTAATATCAATAAAGGGCAAAAACACTATTCATTATATTCTTCTTGCCATTTATTCACCAGCACCGTTGCCCGCCATCGTCGTTCACTACCGCCTTCGCCTCCAGCAACGTTGTCGGAGGTGGCAACAACGGCGCTAGTAGTCATTTCTCTGACCAATGCCGCCGCCTCCGCCCACCTCTGCCTCTGACAACGTTGCCGGAGGTGGGTGAAAATAGAGGTGGTGGCAGTGGCACTGGGTAGAAGAATAATCACCAGCGTTGCCGCCGTTACCTTTGCCTCCGGCCACCTCCAACAACGTTGCCGAAGGCAGGCAACAGCGGACGGCAATGGCGGGCAGTGGCGGACGGCGGTGCTGGTGAACAAATGGCAAGAAGAAGATGATGAACAATGTTTTTGACCTTTATTAATATTATTTTTAAAAAATTAACCTATTTTTTATTTATTTTTAATATTACTTTTATTATATTAAACCCCAAAAGTTGCCATATATACTATTACCCCCTTTTTTTTCTACTTTTTCTTAACTTTGACCAACTTGTTAATTAAACGGCTATGAGTCTATGACTCTTTTGTTTCCTCTTATAATTAAAAAAATAATTTTCGCCTGATTAGAGTGTTTGCCGAATCCGGATCTCCTGCCCACATTTATGGGGTCACACGTGAAGAACATCTCATCCTCTACCGGACTCGTATTCGCCTATACATACATGATTCACGCATACCGGTCGATACTGTTATTTACATTGCCTCTATAATTTTATTTTATTTTTTTAATCTCTCTCCCTCTCATCTTTTCTTCTTTTTTTTCTGTGACAGAGATTCCCCCGTCTGGTTGATTTGGACGATACACAACTACTAAAAGACAACAACATGGGTCCCACTTCACTTACACTCTCAGGAATGCTTTTCCCAACAAGGCTACGCTAACACGTGGCTCCCCTGTAGCTGTCGTTGCCCTTCCCGTCACCTCCCTCCATTTTCTCGCAATCAATCGCCCCCACTCTCTTGGCAGTTTCCCTAAATTAATTTACTCAGACGGTTACGATGCTAACAAGATTACAATCCAACGGTAGACAATTCAGCGTTGTCTTTTTCTCTTACCTTCTTTATTTAAATTAAAAAAAAAGCACGAGAACTCGAGAGGAGAAGCTTTAAATTTTAAATACATTGGGTTCGGTTCGGGGGGTATAGTTCACGCACTCGGTGCATAAGGGGCTCCGTCATATGCTTTTGCGACACGTATTCTGCGCAAGTTAACGCAACGGACGCAGAAGAGCCGTAGGCAGAAAAAGTAACTATGGTTAACTTGCACCGATGTGTACACTAAAGCCCTCCGGTTCCCGCCAACTCTGCCTGTCTAACGCACGACAATTCCAAGTCACGACCATTTCCCCCAAAAGAACAACATCTTGCGATTCCGTCGTAACCTAACGGTGTTAATATATCTTCCAGTAGTAGGAGCCCACGTGTAACGGCCTTTCGGTGAGCATTTTTTTGGATACCTTTTGGTGAGCTCTTGCTAATAATCCTGTAGTCACCAGGTGAGAAGGTTTGGTGACCGGAGCTACCGGTTGCTGACTGCAGTTAAAAATTGACCGCGGTTGAAATGATTGCATGGGAGAATTTGACCCGCGGTTAAGGGTCTCGAAGGGGGGCAGTCGAGACTACTGTGTCTGTACGAAGGTGATGGCAGCTGGCTGGACCTCTCTCGCTGAGAGAGTTGCAGAGGAGGGAGAAAGCAAAAGATAGAAAGAAAGAGAGAGAGAAAGAGAAATAGTGACAGCAGATGAGGAGGAGAGAGAGATCGAATAGATGGCTATTAAATCGGCAGAAAACACTAGTAGAGAAAGAGAGAGCTTTCCAATCTAGGGTTTCGGAGCGAATTCTTCTTCTGTTTGAGGACCTTTGCTTCATTAGGATTCCTGTAGCTCGAATCGGGTCTTTGAGTAGGGTTTAGATTGATTGGGATTTCAGAACACAGTGAGAGAGCTATAACTGTTGTTCTGCGGATGTGAGATTTGCACTGAAATTTCGCGGGAATGGCTGCATCGGAGGTTTCGATCAAGGGAAATGGCGGGAATGTCCACGGAGAGAGCTTCTCCTCAGGGTGCAGCGAGCCTACTAGCGGTTCGGAGACGCCGAGAGGGTATTCGAGCTTTCCGGGGACTGGTAAAGGTGAGGCGCAACTGGTTTTGCTTTAAGGTTTCGATGTGTTTGAGGGGCTTTAATTCTGATTTCTATGCTTTCGTGGTGTAGAATCTGGGGATGTGCTTTACACCGAACTCTGGCATGCCTGTGCTGGTCCTCTTGTGACTGTGCCGCGCGAGGGAGAGAGGGTTTTCTACTTTCCTCAAGGACATATCGAGCAGGTTTTGATTTTCTCTATGTCTTTTCATTTTTCATTTTTTTTTGGTAAATTCATCTGATTATTTTTGTTGATTTGTCTTGTGAACCGTGCTGCTGCATTTTTGCGCAGTCTGTTCAAGAATGGACGTCTTACGTCTTTCTCTTTGTGCGTGTTTTGGTGTTTTTTGTTAGTCTGGTTTTTGTTCGCGAGTGTTTGTTGTTGATGTGGTTTTCAGTTGGGATCCAGGTTGTGGCCTCGACGAATCAGGTTGCTGACAAGGAGATGCCGCTTTATCATCTATCGTCTAAGATCCTCTGCCGCGTGATCAACGTCCAATTGAAGGTTCTGTTTCAGTAATTATTATTATTTTTTTTTCGATGTCCCTGCTTCTGGGTTTCAATTTTAATACACCGTAATCGAGTAACTAGGGTTCCATGGGCTTCTTTGATATTGATCGAGCGGTTTTGTTTACTGTAGGCCGAACCAGACACCGATGAGGTGTTCGCTCAAGTGACTTTGCTTCCCGAGCAGAACGTAAGTTTCCTTCATTGTATCTTATTTTGTTTTAATTAGGGTTTTTATTGTGGATTTCTTGATGTTTAAGCCTTTAATTATTGGTGGGTTTTGGTGCCAGCAAGACGAGAACGCAGTGGAGAAAGAGCCAGTTCCCCCTCCCCCGCCACGCCCCCATGTACATTCGTTTTGTAAGACGTTGACTGCCTCGGATACGAGCACTCATGGTGGATTTTCTGTTTTGAGACGACATGCGGATGAATGCCTGCCCCCGCTGGTTAGTTTTCTTCTTTTAAAACTTTTTGTTGGTTGAAAATTTTCCTTAGTGTGGATGTTTTTCAAAATTCATTTCATTTTTGGTTCCCCAACAGGACATGTGCCGCCAACCACCAACTCAGGAGCTGGTTGCCAAAGATTTGCATGGAATTGAGTGGCGCTTTCGCCACATATTTCGCGGTAACTACTTGCATCCATTCTTCCGCAACATTAGTTCCTTGTTTTTCATGATTCGGTATGCTTAATTAATCATAGATTTTCCCTAAATCAAATGGAGAATTTTTGTAGCTTAGTGTAACTTGCTCAAAGATATTCTAGATTCAGCAAACTTGGGCATCTGTGCATGGATATATTCTTTAGAATGTTGAAGTCGTATACATTTATGTCTTCATTCATTGGGCCTTAAATTTTTGTCAGTATCTCCGTATGTATTAAGAGTGATGAACTGATCCTTTGGACATGGGATTCTTCCCTCTAACTAAGTTTGTGTCTGCTTTTGAAATACCAGGTCAGCCTAGGAGGCACCTGCTTCAAAGTGGTTGGAGTGTTTTTGTTAGCTCCAAAAGGCTTGTTGCAGGGGATGCTTTTATTTTTCTCAGGTTTGATATTTTTCTTTATGCTAATTATTTCGATGTTTCTTGGTTTCTTCTCATGTCTGATGTTTTGTGCGGTTTTATGGCTCTAGAGGTGAAAATGGGGAACTTCGTGTTGGGGTGAGACGTGCTATGAGACAGCAAAGTAATGTTCCATCTTCAGTCATATCTAGTCACAGCATGCACCTGGGTGTCCTTGCCACAGCATGGCATGCTGTCTCAACAGGAACCATGTTCACTGTATATTACAAGCCAAGGTGTGTAAAGTGCAGTAAAAATTCTGCATCTATTAGTTCGAAGTAGTTCTATTAATAAAACCATGGTAAAGCACATCCCAAATAGCAAATTATGAGAACCAAACCGAAATCAAAATTTTTTAAAACCGAATTAACCAAACCGAAAACTGAAAAAACCAAACCAAACAAACTGAAACCGAAAATTTTGGTTCAGTTTTTCAGTTTTAACCGAACAATACTCACCCCTATTAGTAGGCAAGCCCATGGTTTACATGGTTCTTGTGCTTGTTGCCAAAGAAATGATGATTATGTCTCGTCTATGTTGGGTGCTCCTGGGGTTCCAGAGTGTAGTGGAAGATTGAGCATGGTTCCATATGTGGTTTGGATGCCCGTGTCATTTGCACCCAAATAAGCCACGGAAATGCTCTCAATGTTGTTAATAAATAAACTTTGCTTTAGTAGTGCTTTTGGCAAAAAAATCGATGGCATGTCTCAGCTACATTGGGTGCTCCTGTGGTTCCAGTATGGTGGGAATTGAAATTGGTTGCACATGTGCAGCAGATGCCTTTGTCGCTTGCACCGAAGTAAGCCACAAATGCCCACAATGTGGCTAATATTCTGGTTTGTATAATCTAGTTTGCCAGATTTGTCTGTACTAAATCATATTGTTCTAGTACTGACACCTCATCAGACTTTGCATTTGGTTGAATATTTTATTCACATTGCCTTAAAGAATCTTGTTTACATGATTATATCAAGAAAATGAATGTGGCTTCTGTGTTTGCAACATTGCAACTGTTATCTTGCCTTGTAATGTACTAATGTTATGTCTTGGTTTTGTTGTTGAGATTTGTCCCATAATTTTGTTGGGACAAGGCTTGGATGACGATGACGATGTTGATGTGTCCTGTAATTTGTTGTCTCAGGACAAGCCCTGCTGAGTTTATTGTGCCGTTTGATCAATATATGGAGTCTGTTAAGAACAACTATTCTATAGGGATGAGATTTAAAATGAGGTTTGAAGGTGAAGAAGCTCCAGAGCAGAGGTATAAATTTTTTAGCTTCCCCAATGGAAAAACTTCCTTGTAGAGTTGCATTGTTGTTTTTAGGAATCTTATATTCTTTTTCCTTTTTTTTCTAATGTAATTTTCATGTTCCTTTGCAGGTTTACGGGTACCATAGTTGGCATTGGAGATGCTGACCCCAATAGGTGGCCTGGATCGAAATGGAGATGCCTCAAGGTAGGTATATCATGTGGTGTTTGAATCTATTTTCATTCAGTAATACAAGTTGAAATTGTTGTTCCTCCGTGTAATTTAGGTACGGTGGGATGAAACTTCTTCTATTCCTCGCCCAGAGAGAGTATCTCCTTGGAAAATAGAACCCACCTTGACCCCTCCTGCACTGAATCCCCTGCCAATGCACCGGCCTAAGAGGCCCCGTGCAAATATGGTGCCTTCATCTCCTGATTCCTCTGTGCTTACAAGAGAAGGTATTTTGCAATTTCCGTTTGTTTGTCCATCATTATTGTGCTGTGGTCTCCACCACCACTTATGCCCAAGAATGCTTGGGGTGGGGGACTTGGCCCCGCTTAATCTTTTGGAGATAAATACAAAGTTTTTGTTGCTCCTTCCAGGTTCATCTAAAATCACAGCAGACCCTTCACCAGTAAATGGGTTTTCAAGGGTCTTGCAAGGTCAAGAAGTCTTGACCTTGAGATGCAACCTTTCTGAGAACAACGAGTCTGACACTGCCCAGAAGCCTATTCTATGGTCTTCTTCACAAGATGATGAAAAGATTAACATGATTTCTACCCAAAGAAGATATGGGTCAGAGAATTGGATGCCTTTTGTGAGGCACGAACCAACATGCACAGATCTACTGTCAAGTTTTCGCACCATTGATTCTTCTCATGGGTTTTGCCCACCCTATATTGACCAAAGTCCAGATGAAACTAATCCAGTGAAACGACAATTCCAAGACAAGGAAGGAAAATTTAATTTGCTTGCCGGCCCGTGGGCAATGATGCCTTCAAACCCTTTGCCAAACATGTTGGAGTTCAGTATGAAGGCCCCTGCACATGCTGGTGATGTGCCTTCTCAGATGCCAGGAAATGTAAAATATGGTGGGTTGAGTGGCTATCCCATGGTACAGAATCTTGGAGTAGATCAACAGTCAGGAAACTGGTTGAGGCCTCTGTTGCCACATTCTCATTCAGAAAATCCATCTCATGTAAAAGGTCCATTTCCTCGATCAGAAGTTCTGCAACCTGAGGCTGTAAAATCCAAAGGAGAAGGCAGTTACAAGCTCTTTGGTATTCCCCTCATTTCCAAACCTGTCACATCTGAGCCTGCACTGCCACATAATACAAGGAATGAGCCTGTGGATGTCACCTACCACACCATCCACCAACAAGCGTTGGACTCAGATCAAAGGTCAGAACAGTCCAAAGGTTCAAAATCAGCTGTTGTTGCTATTGGGGGCAATGAAAGGGAGAAACCTTCTCATACTTCTCAGCAGTTTGCTAGGGATGTTCAAAGCAAACTGCAGGGTTCCTCAACCAGGAGTTGCACCAAGGTTCAACCCTTCCCTATTATTATCGTTGTTTTAATAATTCTATCAAGTTTGAAGGTCTTGACTTGGGATTCCATCTTACACTTTAATCAAATGGATGAATTGATTTCAGGTTCTCAAGCAGGGGATTGCACTTGGGAGGTCTGTTGATCTTACCAAGTTTAATGACTATGATGAACTGATTGCTGAATTGGATAGAATTTTCGAGTTTAATGGTGAATTAATTGCTCCCAACAAAAGCTGGCTGGTCGTTTATACTGATAACGAGGGGGATATGATGCTCGTTGGAGATGATCCTTGGCAGTAAGTGCTAACCCCATTTTACCATGTTCATATTTGATGATTATATGTTAACCTGGCCTCGGTTTCTTTAGTGGATGGGTTATCATTGGGTACCATAGTTCTACCATTTAAATATCTCATGTGTGGCAGGGAATTTTGTAATATTGTCCGCAAAATTTTTATCTACACTAGAGAGGAGGTACAGAGAATGAACCATGTTAGTCTTGGCCCAAAGATGGTCGAGGAAAACCCAGTGTTGACGGGAGAAAGATTGGTGGCAAAAGTGGAGATTTGTCCACTGGATGCTCCGGCAGCTACTGTGGACGACTGATTAGTTTTCTTCCGTATTTCTGTAGGTAAGTATTCGGGTGTTCCACTTAATTGTTTCTTGAAAATGACATTGCTGTTTTGCTTCTTCAATATAGATCACATAATCCTCGTTTTTCTACAGTTTGATTCTTTTATTGTTTTTCATGCTTCCTTCCCTGTCCACCTCTGATGTTATTCCACTTGTTCAGGTTGCCTGGCACTAGTGCGTTCGAAATTGCATGTTCTCATGTCATGAGAACTTATTGCTTTTGCTACCACTTGTGGGATTATAAACTATTTAATTCAACTTGGCCATAATCCAAGTATTTGGGCTAAAAGGTTTGTGTTCCGGCTGCCAACCCAACACTACCCTCCTTGGTCAGAGGTGGGACTGGCAGTGTAAGATAAGCATTACACTTGGGAGTAAATTGCTTTAACTATCGAAAAGTGGAATATGGAGAATTTATCATTCTTTGGTTCTCCCCCAGTGATTGAGCAGGATATTGAAGCTTCAACCAGACTAAACTGCAGCAAAGTCGGTTGTAGCTCTACCAACTTTATGGGCCTTTACATTTTACCCTTCGCAGATATGGCAGCACTTTAATTCTCCCCAGTTTTGGATTTTGTGATTTTTATCGACAATATAGCTTCTAGGTCTCTATCAAATTGTATACATGATATAAAATTATATATACATAAATTCTGCAAGCCTTGGCAGTTTAAGGCCTTGCATTCCCATTTATGTACAGTTTTCTTTTTTTTCATTTCCTCCACTTTTCTTCAATGTACGCTGACGAGAGTGTCATATCTCTTAATGATGCCTTCACTTTTACTGGTTTGCCTTCTTACTTTTTGATAGCAAGAGGCTTGGTGTATATTTATTAAACCTAAAGAACTGAATACCCAAACTTAGATCGATATGATGTGTTTTTTGAACTTCTGACGGTTAGTTTTTTTTCTTCTTTTTTATATTTCTAATTCAATGCCGTGCGAAAAGGGAGGAGAGAGATGAGTCCGGGGAGGAAAGAAAAAGATGATATGGACGTTAGTTAACAATTATCGATTTATCAAAGATGGGAGGTGGATCTAGAATTTGAATTATATTCCTAAATAAATGGACTTGGTAAAAAATGGCAATATTACCTGATATCCCAATTCGTCAAAATCCTCGTTCGGATGGGGCCGAGGGTTGGGTGTTTAAATGGATTTGGATCACCCCTGTTTGGATCTTTGGATCGAAATCAGATGATAGGAGCAGATCAGAAATTGGATAAGATTCAGATCACTCTTAGTCGATTTGAGAAGATTCAGTCTAATATATTATATATTTATAAATATAAGGTATTTATTTATTTATAAATACATTTTTTATATTATATACGATGAAACTTTTTTATAAAAAATATGTATATGTACTATGAAACTTTTTTATATTATATTATTTTATTTACTAATTTATTATTTTTAAAGAAAACAAGATGGATCAGATCCGAAGATCCGATTTATTGATAGGAATAGAATTCGAATTCAAATAGTCTTATCACTTTGGATCGGATCTTATATGAACAGTGTTAGATCGAATTCGAATCTGATTTGATTCCATTTGCATCCCTAGCGAGGGTGGGTTTGATTTTCCCCATGGGACGGGGATCGGGAAATTTTCATCCCCATAGATGGAGATAGGCAGGGGTAGAGAGAGCATTCCCCTCCCTATGGGGTGGAGATCTTTGTTAATATCTTCATATGGTTACACATGTATCATATATTTATCTCTTTAAAATATTTATATATTAAGTATATAAAAATATATGAAAAACATTTATATTTTTATAAGTATGGTAGAATATTTTTAAATATATTTGAATCTTTTTTTACTATGATTATAAATTGTAACTATTTTATTTTTAATTTTTAAATAAAATAAAAAACAAAAGCATAATGGGAGTGGCTCCCCATCCACAAATCGCTGCCATTCTATTCTGTGATGGGATCTGTTCCTCACAAATGGGCGCCTCACAGGCACATCCGTTGTGCATTGTGGATATCTCCCATGAATTATAGCTAATAAGTACGAGAGATGCTCCCAATGCATGATAGGATGTCTATGTGAAGCGCCAGGTGTGTGGAGCATATCCTATCTCTTCCATTCTTATTCAATGAAGGACTTTGACCGTCATTGCTAGCTCCTTATTGATTGACATGTATCCATCTTTGGCCATATAATTTAAATTGGATAGACCGATAGAGGACTTATCTAATTATTGAAAGTGTCAATAACATGGAATTTTTGTTTGATTAAAACACCTTAATTTTTAAATTCGGTTCATTTTAAATTATAAGGATATAAATGTAATTTTAATAATTTAATCAAATTCCTCTCGTTAAGTCTTATATTTAAAATCTTAATCACTATTTTTATTCATTGAATCCTTTTCTTGAATAAAATACCCTTATTTTTTATTTAAATCCTCTTTAATTATGAGGGTACAAAGTTAGGGGTGATCATGAGTCAGATTGGGTCGGACTTTACACTTATGATAAGGGATATAGCCTCAAGTCCAACCCAACACATTTTTTGAGCCTGACACATAAACTTAGGCTTGGGTCTACATGGGCCTAGGCCGGGTCCAGCCTAATTTCGGAGCTGTCTTTCATATATAATATTTTATATTAAATGCAATAAAGTGCATATAAGTAATAAAGTATCATTATAATATTTAAATAGAAAATATATTATATAATATCAAATGTGTATGTTTAAATATAGGTCAAGCATGAACTATTACATTTCTCATTCAATTCCCTCTCATTAAGTCCTATATTTAGGGTATTAACTCCTATTTCTTGTTGAAATCTATATTTAAGTTAGTTTTCCCAATAAATTTAATCAATTAGATCTATATCCAATACTTTTAATAATATAAAATATATGTTTTTAAAATTAACCCAAAAACAGAACCATTTTTCCATCCTAGTGGTGAGTAATCAATTCAACCATTTGGGTAAAAACTTTTAAAGAAAAATGTGTTTTATATCAATCACATTAAATAAAAATATGTGACAAATAATACTTATTCTTATTTATGTTGAAATGAAATGTATTAACCCTTAATGCCAAAAAAATGTGACAAATAATAATAATTATTCTTATTTATTAATTTAAAAAAAAAGTGGTGGAAAATCAACAATTCAGCCTTTCGAGTCAAATGTATTAACCCTTAATGCCATAAAGAATATGATAAAAAGCACAAAAAGCATTATGTAATAATAAAATTTTGTAAAAAAATTATTTATGTTGAAAATAAAATAAAAAAACTTAAAACCAACCAAAAAATGAAATTGTTCTCATGGTAGCAAGTTAACAATTCAACCTTTCCAATTATGTGTCAAACCTTAATCTCATAATTAAATAACAAAATATAAAAAATAAAAAAGAAATAAAAATACAAAAAATGCAAAAACTTTGTAAAACACATTAATCATATTAAAATTTAAAAATTAAAATTAATCTACTTGACTGTATAGATCAATTATTCAACCATTTACGTCAAATGTGTAAAGCCATGATGTCATAATTTAATAATAAAAATTAAAAGATAAAAACACAAAAATATAAATAAAAAACACTGTACATGGGCACGCTTACTAACCTTTCATTGTATAGATTCAGTTGATTTCTTTTAAGCATAGCAAAATAGCTAAGGGCTGCAACAGGTTAGCTTAGGGTTGAGGCCTTATCCAACCAAACCTAACCCAAGCCCTGCCCAACATAACATCATATTTGCCTTATAAATATGTATTTATGCATACAAGTTATGTATATCAGTATGTGTATTTACCATTCTTGCATGCATGTATATGCAATCATGCATCTACAAATGTAAATATCTATATATGCATGTATTTTTCAGTGTATCATGTATTATGTGTATTTATTTATCTATATTTGCATGCGTATACTGCACGTCAAAATATTTGAGTATAAAGGGAATTTTTTTAAACATGATAACTACGTTATCTTACATGGAACTAGTGTAAGTACACGTGTATCCGGTTTATCTAATATATAGAATGCTATTATTGAATTAACATAAACCCTTAAAAGTGTAGGAAACAAGAACATACGAGATATGCCAAAAGAAAGTGAAGTTAGGCCAACCCAAGACTAACCCGAACCGAACTTTAATGCAACCCAAGCCTAACCCAATCCAGAGTTTAGGATTGGGTTGGGATTAGAGTTGAGGTTTCAACAACTTGGGACTTCAACCCAACCTAGCCCAGCCCCACTTGAACTCCCAATTGTGGAAGAGGCGCACATGTATGTGTGTGTGTACGCGCGCACGTGCGAGAGAGAGAGAGAGAGAGAGAGAGGGTGGGGGTGGGGGATTATGTGGTATGTTTATTTCTTGATAGTTTGTTAACCTTGGATAATGTTTATTTCGTCACCAATGGGAAAAAGAAATTCTGGACTTACGAGAACGAGGCCCAAACAAAAACTTAATAGTAAAAATTTTACACCATCCAAAAACTGGTCCATAACTTAACAGTTGGGAGAAAATGAAGATAAAACAATTCAATTGGTACACAAGATATACCTAAAACTAAATGAGTAAACATAATAACGGAGGCATCAATAATCAATTTGCATCTGGTAGTGGTGTGGGGGAACCATTTTCGGACAAGCTATTCGAAGTCGAACTTACATCAGACAGAACACCTCTCTCAAAGAAGGTGTAATGTAGGGCCCTGACGCACTGTTCTGCTTCACTGTCATTTACTATCAATGAGATGTTTACCTGTTACATGGTTGAAAGCTGTCAAAGTGGGGAAGGCAGGGATAATGGCAGAAAAAAGAAATACGCTGTTGAATGCAAAGACTGGAGTTAGAAGAGACCTTTGATGCTCCTTGAGAGATCATCTGGACATTTACTCCATTGGTTCGGAGAACATTAAATGCCTGCATTTGGCACGTACTCAATAAATGAAAACATAATAGAATGAGAAAAGGATTCTGCCAGACAAGACAATCTTTTCTTTTGGTAGAAACAGACAAGATAATCAAGAGAACAACTTAGTGGAGTCTAACCATCAGTGATCATCACCATATATTAATAGAGCATCCACAACTCAAGTGCAAGGATGGTAATCATTCTCTTGCTCAAAGCACCATGAATACTTGGCACAGACAGGCCTTTAAAGAAGAAAATAAACAGCTAGAGCATCTATAATAGTTCAATGAAACTAAGAGTGCCATCATAGTTATGGCCACAAAGTGATCTATGTTTCTCTCTTTTACCTTACCTTGTCAGATTACTACTTAGGGAAGTTCAGCCAATTGTTAAAATAATTTGATTTACAATTAGTTCGGTAAGTATCAGAAGTCACATTTGCAAGCATGAAGCATCCACCTTCTTATAGTAGTGTGCAGTCAAAGTAAACTAACCTTTTCTAGTATCAACGAAGACCGTTGAACATTCCCAATGAGAGAGATAATCGATCTGTGTTGGAGCAGATTCACGACTGCAATTTTCTCTAGTTCTTCCACCACATGGTCGAGTTCCTGCTCATATCAGATGCAATTAAGATGAGTTTGAATGTCAAAACAGAATGAACTTGGAAAAAAAAAAGGTTGAATAGACCTAAACAGACTATTGAATTCATATGAAGAAAGGTATAATACTGTGGAAGAAAATGTGTAATTTAAAGATGATTACTGCATAGCAGTTCCCACCATTAAGTTGCTGGAAGAGTTTAAATCAGCCAAAAATGTGGGTTACCAAAAATATATCTATGTAGAAATAAGCAAATAATTAGATCTAAAAACCATTACAGTTGTAGCATAAGCCAGAGAAGAATTAATTCCTCACGAGGAGAGAAGCTTCAACTCATGGCTGTTAATGGAATTAATTATGTTCTTATAATGTTCTGGGGCCCAACGTCATTAACATTTTGTTGTCTGATAGCTATTATTGGTATTAATGATGTCATCATAATGTTTTTGGGTTGCAGGTCATTAACATTTTATGTTGAGTAAAACACAATACAAATAGCTGTTCTTAGGGATGGTATCAGCTCCATTGCCTTTGTTATTCCTGTTACAAGGATGCATCCGGTATTGGCTAGAATGTTTTAATGTCAATCTAATAAAATTTATAATATTTTGCAAAATAAATTATGTAATATACTGCAATTTAATAAACAACATAAAAGAATATAACTCATTGTTGGAAGCTAATATAGCATTATTATAATGAATAAGCTGTCAGCTCACTAGTTGTTAAGGCCTATGGGGTTCCACACCGCATACCTGGAACACTCTTATGTTGCATTATATGAATCATAAATAGCAGGGCAATACATGAATCAACATCTAATTGTAAAACTCCAGATATATCATATACTACATTCCAACACAATCTTCACAACCGAAACTACAAATGTAAATCAATCATATTCTGCACTAAGATAAAGGAGTGGATTGAGAGCCTCTGTAACTGTGTTCAACCAATGACAAGGGCAAGGAATGTAATAAATGTCAATTGTTTGATGACGTTGATTTGGATAAATTACAGATTACTCCCTGTACTTTGGGGGTAGTGGCAATTACCCCCTGAACTTTCAGATTCCAACAAAGACCCCCTCCGTTAGCATTCCATCAGTTAACTTTGAAAAAGATTCTCATTTGACTGTTTAAACTTTTCTAAATCACCAAACTACCCTTTTCCCATTGATTTTTTTTAGCTTTTTTGTTTTCATTTGTTACTTGTTCAGTTGAAAATTATTGCATGTTGTGTTTGTTGCAATTACAGGTTTTTATAGAAGTTTCTTGGTTTTTTTGTTGCAATTTCCATTTTATAGAAGTTTCTGAGTGGGTATTTTGGTAAATTAACTTCTTATGCCACTCAACTTAATGGAGAGGGGATCTTTGTCAGAATTTGGAAGTTAAAGGGGGTCTTTGTTGCAATTGAAAGTTCAGGGGGCAATTGCCATTACCCCCAAAGTACAGGGTAGTAATCTGTAATTTACCCTTTTAATTTTTAACACGTCTTATTGCATAATTATGCTCCTAAAATAAGGGATAGTGTTGTGTCATTTTTGTTACCAATGCAAGAGATGTAAAACAGGGACATAGAGAGGATGTGATGTACCAAAGAATGCACAATATTCCTACCTACATGAGTAGGAAGTTGAAATTTCTTCCCTCCCAAAACCACTTGGCACTTGCAACTTCCTTTGGCTCAGTTCGGAAAGAGTATATGTAGAGTGCAGGCAAAAGGTTGTTACTAAAATTTTGTTAGGAACACATCCAAGGGATGATTCCTGGTTTGACTTGCATGTGCCCTTGTGGGTAGCTACTAGCCAGGGGTGTCAATGGACCAGTTTTGGATTGGATTGGACCTGGTCCATCCATAATGTATTTATATTGGATTGGGTTGGATTGATCCAAATATCTGATCCACTGATAGAAGATAAGAATATAGGTGTCAATGGACCAGGTTTGGGTTAGAATTAATCTACATTAAAACAAATTTGAACAGAGTGGACGGTCCAAACATTGAATTGGAATAGTCAAAATATTTATTGGATTGGATTGGACCTGGTCCATTTGTAATGGACTCACATTGGACTGGACCGGATTGGACCAAATCCAGTCCAATTGACAGTGCATGCACACAGACACACACACATGGACACAGAGAACAAGGGACAAAATACATATGCATGTATGTATTGGCAAACAATTTGCAGATGATTAAAAAAAACAAGAAGCTTGATATCATACGCTTGCCTGTTGTATTAATTCCCTGCTCCAAAGTTTTGATGGATCCAGTGTCAAGGAAATACTGACTTCACTTGTAGCAACAACATCAACAGATATGCCCAAATCTTCAAAGATTGAGAAGACCTTAAATGGAAGAGAATAAAATGTAAATTACTTTTTGAGTTACAAACTCAACTGGGACAGGAGGGGAGAAGCAACTTCATTAACAGGCTGGTTACCTTTGCAAGAAAACCAAATTGGCCCAGCATACGGGTGCTAACTATATCCAACATAGTGACATTACGCTTCAAAACTATACTGGTAAGGACTGCCTGGAATTGGAAAATAAAACATCAAATGCTGTTTTTTATGAATATTAGAATTAATAATTCTTACTTGCAAAAGGTCTGCTACAAACCTCACTCATATCTCTTGATTTAGTGATGAGGGTACCTGGAGCTTTGGGATTGTAAGAATTTTTTACCCTAACAGGGATATCCCCCTCTCTAGCAGGCCTCATGGATTGTGGATGCAAGACCTGCAGACAAATAAAGGAATTTTTCAGTTCTCTCTAATTGCAATGTCCTCTAATAATTATCTACTGCATCTACTTCGCATAATCAAGGAAGAAGCTAGCATTGCATGGTGCTGCATATGGCTAATATGATTTTTGATGACTGATCCAACTATAACTACATGATGGGATAAAATAGAAGGGCTTCAAATATTGTCCACCAAAAATTCTGTATGAGCCAGGTCAAGGTTTGTCCTAATCAAATAAAAAAGCCTTGCTTTGACCAATTCATAGCATTGTTCAGACACCCACTTTTTATGTTATAGAGACTTCAAAGTCCAAAAGAAATGCATGTCATCTGATGAAACATGTGAAATTTCTATGGTTACTGTTTTCTATGATAAAAGATAAAATTTTATTTTAAATTAAAAAAAAAAAAACATTACAAAGAACAGGTGATAAGATATCACCCCAACATGTAACCATACAAGACCTCCCTCCACACAAGAACATACCACTCAATTTTCACTTGACCTCCCCAAAATAAGAAAACTATCAACTACTACTTTTCTATGAGAAGCTTTTTTTTCTAAAATGGAAAGGTAAGCATGCCCAAAAATCACATTTTGTTAAACAAGAAAAAGAAAAAAACTTGGTGGTGTATGGAATATGACATATTAAAGTTAAACCTACAAGCAGTAGCATCTTTTTACACTGCATTTAGCCAGAAAACCTACGGGATCGTTGCCACATAAACTTTACACATTGCATGATGGTTACTGAGGTGCATCCAATAGGCAGATCACTTGACAGGGGAGGTTCAAGATTGTAGGTTAATACCTGGGCACCAAAATAAGCAAGTTCAGCTGCCTCTTCAAAAGTCAAATATGGTACGGGCTCTGCACGGGGATAGATATTGGGATCACATGTCAAAACACCATCCACATCCTTCCATACCTGTTGCGAATTGAGAAAAAAATATCATATTATGTCAAATTACACAAGAACAGATATAAGGTCTTGATGGATCTTTCACTGAATTATCCTAAAAATTAAAGGAATTTGAACTATAAAATGTTAAAGAACAGCTTCACATACTAAATGAGCAGCAATAGCCTCTACACACAGGGGTACAGATCTTTCTAAGATGCCCAGATATGGATGCGGATATGCTCATACATTAGAGCACACCTTTAGATTAAAAGATGAGCAAAGTATACATAATAGGATGTACAATGGTGCAAAAGGCCTAGACAGGCAACCTCCCAGAAAATATCGGCCGATACATATCGTTCCAGGACTCCTCTGATACGCCCCTATAGTGGGTGTATCAGGGGTCTGACTGGTTCAGGGGGTGGAGGAGACCTAAACCGCCCCCCTGAACCGGTTTCAAAAAAAATAAAAAAAGTAAAAAAAAAGAACGGTATCGATTCGCCCAATACGCCCCTACCGGCATATTGGGCGCATCAATATTTTGAACCTTGACTGTATCCACAACAAGTACAAAAAATGCCTCCTAATGTAAATCATGCCAAGTCCATAATGGATATATACAAGTAGGTAACATAGATACACATGCATATTCATTAACTGTTTATGCATGTACACAGGCCAAACTCTCAGGATCTGAACTTAACCTGAATCTCACGCAAACCCAATGCTTTACCAATTGTTGTGGCTGTCAGATCGCTACCTCCCCTACCTAATGTTGTGACAGCACAAGATTTCCATCCCTGACATCAAAAGATTAGAGTAACTGTTTCATAAATGCAAAATACTGCTAATAAAATTTGAATTTCTGTTGAAATGATTAAAATAATCATCTTGATGTTTAAAGAAACATTTTGCTAGCAGAATCACCTTTCCAAGGAAGCCAGTAACAACAGGAATTGCAGGATCATTAATCCAATCACCATGCAACCTCTTTGCAACAGCAGGATATGTTGCTTCTAAGATGTCCGCATTTGTAAAGTCGTCTGTGGTTATAAAACCAATATCAAATGCATCATACTGCAAAACATGGTGCAGTAGCAAAATCAGCTATGATGATTAATGGTGTTGACAAGCTATCAGACAGATTGTAAGACAACTTTTTTAATCAACAACAGATTCACACAATTTTAGCAAAACAGAGAAAGAAGGTAATGAACATCAGATGATAGTAAACAACACATTAAAGACAAGAAGGAAATTTTTCCCATTTGAGCAAGGCAGAAACCTGGAAAAATGGAACATAGATGTTCAAGCACAAAAATCAAGATAACTGTGATCAACTCTACTAAGTCAATGCTTGAATAGAAGGAAATAATGGAAAATAACAGAATATTCTGAATCTCTAGTTTTAGCAGTCAGAATTCCAGTCAAAATTTAATAGCCAACTTCTTGTTAACACTTTTATGACTGGGATTCAATAAAATGAAAATAGAAAGCCTCACTGTCAACTCTAGATCTCTGGGAATTTAAGAAACTTCGTAATACTAAAAAGACACTTTTAGGAACTACTTAAACATAAGGAGAACAATATTAAAAGTAGTCTAACCAATTTAAGAGAGCAGAGGTACCCTGTTCGCATGGTTGTCAATTCACAAGATCTACAAGCAGTACCATATAATAATGTTTTTTTAATCTTTTAAAAAAGAGGAAAATACTTTACCTTTTTTAAAAAGGAAAAAACATTTGGATAAGCTAACAGAAAATCTATTTTGTAAAAAAACAAAAGAAAAAAAAAGAGGAAAATAATTCCCATGTTCAGTAGAGCATCACAAAGGAATATTTCTCGACCTTTCATTAAGCACTATTTCGGGTCACAGAAAAAGTAATTCAAACAATCCCTTGGAAGGAAAAGGCAACCAAAATAACTCTCTTAAAGCACACCCAAACGACATGATCTGGGTTGTTAAATGGGCAACCCAATAGTACAAAAAAATAAAAATAAAAAATCAAGGTGAGATAATATTACACTTGCTAAATAGGTAACTGAGTTACTTTCCTAGTAGTACCAAGGTGGGGTTGATTTGCATGGAACTTCCAATAGACATACTTTAGATCTAATACTTCCAATGGATTTTGGATCTTTATGTTCCAACCATCAAAATAACTCTACTCAAAGAAAACATTCTCCCATATGAAAGGTGCAACAACCAAAATTCTTCCAATATTAAGGATTCAGCACTTAGCCCTTATTTATTTGCACTGATCATAGATGAATTAACTAAACATATTAGAAAGGAGGTCCCATGGTGCTGTTATTTGCTGATGACATTGTTAATTGATGAAACTAATTAAGAATCAAATACAAAATTAAGTTTATAGATGAATACCTTAGTAACAAGAGGTTTTAAAATAAAGAGTAAAACAGAATACATGCAATGTAAATTTAGGCTCAGTTTGGGAAAAGTACAAATACAAATATGTACAGTACAAAAAGTTTAGAAATACGACATACAAGGTTTTGTACTACACATAATTGTATTTGTACTCTTCCCAAACTGAGCAACAACAATAGGAGTGCAAATCAGGATACACTTGGGCTTGGAGACCAAGAGATAACTCAATGTGACTCTTTCTGGTACCTTGGTATGATAATTCATAACAAGGGAGATATTGAGGATGTCACCCATGATTAAGAGGAAAACTTGGTAAAACAGTTGTAAGGCCAGCAGTGCTCTATGGAACAAAGTTTTGGGCAGTCAAGAAACATTATGACTAAAAAAAGAGTGGAAGAAATGTTTAAGCTCAGATAGATGAGTTGAAAATTTTATCAAAAAAAAAAAAGATGAGTGGAAAAACTAAAAAGGGCAGGGTCAGAAATAAAGTCATTCAAAGGAAACTAGGAGTAGTTCCAAAAATGTGATAAAATTAGACAAAGTAAGCTTAGATGGTTCTGTCATGTGCACAGAAGGCCACCTACAGCACTCACATGAAAAGGCAATCAGTTACAAGTTGAAGGAGCCAGAAGCACTAGGGGCAGACAAAAAAGGACAGGGATCGAAGTGTTGAGAAATGATTTAAGCACTCATAATTTAACAATGGATATGGCATTAAACGGAAAAGAATGGCAAAACAGGATAGATGTAGCCAATCATGTATAGTTGGGATAAGGCTTAGATGAAGATGATGATGATGCTGGGTAAGAAAAATGCAATGAGATATTGTTTGGATTAAGAAAGATATTCTGAGATATCTTTTGAGTTTAAATTTTTCTTGTTTTATTTCTAACCAACTAAATAAAGTTTCGTTAAAATTTAAAAAGTATTATATATTAATACATCTTTGGTTGTTATTTATTTTGTTTTTTACCAATATGGTGCTACTCAGGCGATGCGTATACCTCACAAAATTTAAGGCATAAGCCTCTAGCCACTAGGGGTGTTCATCAAAAACCGAACCGAACCAACTAGTATATGTGTGTGTGTAACATATGTTGTATATTATTTATATTAAATATATGCATTACATATATAATATTTATATTGTACTTATACATCTCTTTATAACACATATTATAAATACAAAAAACCAAACCGATCAACTGGTTAACAGATTGATTTGGTTTAACAGAACCGTGAGCATCCCTACTAGCCACACACACACAAGGCATTAAGGCTCTGCCTCACCTCAGTGCCTTTTAAAAACATGATTGAGAAAGAACCAACATGAACCAAAAAGGCTGAGATGCAGGACAAAAGTATGCAGCAAATGCATTCTAATTTTGAATATGCATCCAACCAAAGATTTTATCATAACCAATGTTTTAAAATTTGGAGGCATGATGCAAGGCATTCCACTAGGCATTGTTCAAAAAGCAAGAAGCATAAACCTCCAGAGCACTTAATAATTTTTAATGAAAGGCCTCTTGTATTAGAAGAATGAAGATGCATAACACTAACTGAAAGGGGGGACCTGTCGAAGTGGAGGCGAGTGAGCTGGAGATGAGGATGACCCCCCTCCCCCCCACCCAAAAAAAAAAAAAAAAATTGGGCTGCATAAAAAAGATATTGAGGAGGGGGAGTGAAGACCCCCAGCCAAGGAGGTTTAGGGGGCAGTGCCCCCAGCCCAAAATTCCTTCCCTTCCCTTTCTTTTTGTATGAAGCACATGAGACATATGCCTCTAGTACACACCATGCAAAAGGCGTTTGAGGTGTGCCCCTCATGTGCCTAAGGCGTATACCTTAGAGGCATCAACACCACTGGCATGCGCCTCGTAGTGTGGCACATGTGATTTAAAATGCGGAGGTGTGACACAAAGCATTCCACTACCTAGAGGCATGAAACGTAGTTCAGAATGTAAGAGGCATAAGTCTTCCGAACACAAGGAGGCATAAGCCTCCATAAGAGGAGGGAGATGAGAAGGAAGGAGGATCTCATTTTTCTTTATTTTTAATAAAAATCTTTTATATAAGAAGAATGAAGAAGAGGAAGGAGGATCTCATTTTTCTAGCACGTTTCATGAAAAAAGCGTATGAGGATGCCTCTTGCACCTGAGGCGTACGCCTCAAAGGTGTTAGCACCTCTAGCATAAGCTTCAGGGCGTTTTGGAGGCACCTTGCCTGTCCAGGTGTACGCCCCCTATGCCTTTTAAAATACTGAGCGCACCTCCAGGCGTATGCATTCCACGCCTTTTAAAACATTGATCATAACTATATTACCTAAGCCGTAGAAGATGTACGCAAAATACCTGCAACTATGAGTAATGCCCACAGTAGAAAAGAAAACCCTGAACCATATATATAAATATAAACTATATAAAAGGTTGTAACTGTGTGTGTGTGTGTTTGACTTATCTATATGGGTGCATGTTTGATTTATTTTCTATGGTGGGGGTTGGGGAGTGAATGCTCCTGGGACAAAATCCTTTTCATCAAAAACGTTAATCTGATCAGCTGATGGTTACCATCCAATCAATTTATTCTTTAGGACTGCATGAAAATTTGGGCTACAAAGAAAGCACAAATAAGGCATCATATTTCTTATTTAGTTGATTTGAGCCATGGATACAGTGGATCAATAATATACAGTTTTCATCCCTGTAATTGTACCACAAATTCATGTGTATGTATCCCAATTCTAAATATGATAAAATCAAGACAAACGGTAAGATCTGAATTAATGAACCAAGATAGACCACGTACAGTAGAAATTAATGGCATGCCAGGACCTTTAGCTCATACTTCTTCGTCTGTTCTCAGATGCAAAGTGCTTAAAGATATATAACTTCCTAGGCATATCAAGCATGAATACGTGAAAGGAAAATAACATACTTGGCGAGCATTAGCACCAATTTTATTCAAATATGCAGCAAATATCCTTGTCGACATGCACTCTCCAAATGAAACTAGATAGTCTTTTGTACGAGGAGTAAGTTCCTTCATCATAGCAATTCCTTTCAGAAGTTGCTCCATTTCTTCCAAGTGTTCTACAGAATTACACACAAAATAAAAGCCAAAAACAGGCTTGAGAAAGAACTCATTATAAATGGATAAACATGCATGGTGAAAGGGGGAAAAGTATGGACGTTCAGTCCACAGTCCGGCTGGGATGGATGATGTTATAGTCTTACCGATAACAGTCCCTTTAGAAATATTTCAAAGAATCATGAATATATAAAGTAAATTAACTGATATGAAGAAACACCAACAAAAGAAGAAAAGAGTTGAAAGTAAATTAATTGATATGATGAGAAACACCAACAAAGGATGAAAAGAGTTGGAAAAAGGTCACTCACAGACTTGAACCCTCATTTTCACACTTGTCAGCTCAAGATTTTACCATTGCACCAAGAAATGGCCCCTAGAAGTCCCAAAAAACAGTTGACTATATAGAACCTAACCTCTGGTAATTTAGCATGAAGTGGTTGTTCAAAGGCTTCAACATTCATTGATTCATTCTCACACTTACCAAGATTGTACAGTTGCACCGAGCAATGCCCCCTAAATTGTTGACCAAAAAAAAAGAGAAGACAGTTAAGACAGAAATGAATGACAAATCCCCATTGTTGCACCAAGCAATGCCCCCATTCATTGATTCATTCTCACACTTACCAAGATTGTACAGTTGCACCAAGCAATGCCCCCTAAATTGTTGACCAAAAAAAAGAGAAGAAAAGTTAAGACAGAAATGAATGACAAATCCCCATTCCCCTGCCCAATAAAGCATCTCATAAGTCAATATGCACTCCCCAAACCTATTTACACTTGATTCCTAACAAGTTATGTAAAGTGAATCTACACTACATCACTTGGTACAAAGCACCTATTTGGTAAAATTTTCTATCCATCCTACATGACTTGGGTAATCAGAGTAGTTGGTATTGCATCACTTTACTAAAGGCCTCCAGCAGAAAGTGCAAACTCTAATTATCATAGGAAAATCTCAATCTCAATTGAAAAAGTAATTTGTTATATGCATTGAAATAAGATTTAAATCAGAATGCATTTATCAAAAAAAAATATTTAAATTAGAATGCTATTATTGCAACATCCATCACCATTCGATTGGGATTTGTCCTGCCATTGGAGTAAGCCCATGATATTAATAGGAAATTATAATGACTGAAGCACAACGGACATGAGGTGCTAGGATAATAAGTTTCACAGGATGAAAGTTCATAGGGCCATTGACATAGTAGAAAGTTAATGGTTTGAGCTAAAAAAGGCAAGAAGCGTGGTTTTGGAAATATGAATCAAGTTCTTGAGAATAAGATTATGACCCTTTCATGCAACATAAACGAACATTTTTTAGCATGAACATAAATTGACATTTTTATCTCTCCTCTAATAGCTTGGTAGCATTTACTTCCTCCCGAACTAAAAATTTGAGCAGGGGAACTTTCAACAAATGAATAAATGGAAGCTGATAAAAAAACAAATGGATAAATGGAATAGCTTAAAACAAAGTCAAATCATTTCTATTATTCAGTTGTAGTTTTTCCAGGATTTAATTTACATAACAATTTGATGTAAGGATCATCATAATGGAAACAGGTTATGCAAGCACAAAAAACAAATATATGGCATCATCAAAAGCATAAACTCTATTATTGAACAAGATATATTAACATCTATTGCTAGACACGAATCAGTTGCATTTTGGCACTTGATTGCAATGCAACTTGAAAGCATTCATAAATTAAGAATGGATATGGCATTAAACAGAAAGGAATGGCCAAACAGGATTCATGTAGCAGACCCCATATAGTTGTGATAAGGTTTAGATGATGATGATGCAACTTGAAATTAATTACACTCACAAAAGACAACTGTGCACCAAATAGATCCTTACCAGAAATTATAGACCTATCCACTCCAAGCTCATCAACCGTCCTGAATAAAGAAAAAAACAATCAAAACAGAAATGATAAAAGTCGATTATCATCGTGATAGAGTGCATTCATAGGTGTGTATTTGAGAGAGAGAGAGAGAGTTTGACCTGAGATGAAGTTCCTTTATAAACCCTAACTCATCAATTTCAGAAACGTGAGAAACACCACAACCAACAGCCTTTTCTCCAGCCTGAAAAAAGAACGAAAAAGGAAATTGACAGCTATCTAACTTCGCCAAGAACTACAAAAAGGAATAGTAAAATTGAGAGCGACCCAGAAGAAGAATCACAAGAAGAGACTTAAGCATACCAGTAGAAGCTTGTTAGTCGTCTTTCCCATTGCAGAGAGAACAAGTACAGGCCTTTCTTCAGGAAAGCTCAGAATCAGTTCAGCGACCTCCTTCATCCTCTCCGCTGAGGCCACCGAAGACCCACCAAACTTCATCACACACGTCAACTGCCCCACATTTCTATCAAAACTTTGGCTCTCATTCTCGACCTTTTCTCGAAAAGCTAATGCTCCTGTCTCGCAACTGATTTTGAAAGCTCTCCTTGTGCGGGGGCCTTCAGGTCTTCTATTCAAAAGTCCAGCACTCGAAGCCACTAATGCCGCAAGATCAGACAGGGTCGAAGATAGTTTCACTGATGATAGAGGTAAGAAGTGCGAGGAATATCTTCTGAACCCAGTATGGGGAGTTCTGACACCAGTGAATTGCAATGATCTCGCCATTCTAAAGCAGTTTAAAGCAACAAACACACTCTTCTGAGAATTATTTTCTTTTATTTATTTATTTTGCAGCAGCAGCTGAGCAAGATGGACGGAAGCTAAGAACTAATCTATTGTGTATAATTCTTCAGAGATCTGGACAGATAAAATTGATCTTTTCGAAGAATGAGCTAAAATGCGATACGAGCATCTTCCTTCTTCTGGATCGATTTAGTACTCCATTTGCGATAAATTCATGCTTCTGAGAACCGAAAGGAAATGGAAAGCTAAAAAAGAAGAAGAGACACAACAAGTCTAATGTCAAGCATAAAACAAAACGGAAAGACCAAAGAAATCATCCCAATGTAATAAAAAGTTACGAGAGACTGCTAAATCGATTATTTAAACTCCATTAAGAGAGAATTAGGACAGCATTTATTACCAATGAAACATGCACTTGAGAAGAAATTGAGAAATAGTAGTAAAAATACCTAAAAACAGAGAGATTTCATGAAATCTAGGTTTAGTTGGTGTTTCTCTCTTAGCTCGCGTTTTATCTATAGAAGCAGTGGCGCTTCTTGACCGCGGGCGTCGGACGTCGGAGCTCCCTGATAAAGCGGGGCGGGGGGAACGTGAGAACAAGAGTTCCCTCTGCTCTGACGGCGCCTTTCCTTATAGCTCAAAGAACTTGAGAAGATGGTGTTGTCGTAAATAATCTGTAAGAGTGGTCACTCTAGTATTTGTCTTCGTTGAATTGCGAAACCCTCCCGCGTCTTCTGCTGCGAATGGACGGTCGAGATTGAATCTGGTGTAACGACTATGGCGCAAGCGCAGTAAAACGCCAACTTGTGTAGTGTAAATGTAAACTAGGGAGGAGGGATGAGGATTTCTCTTCTTTTTTTTAATCTTTACTTTATGAGGTTTGACGAGAGTTTCGTGGTCAGCGGAGTCGCCACCGGAGACTGGTGTCGCGTGCACTGATGCACATTAAACTTGCGCGGTGGGCGTAGGCAGGACGCACCGCATGCGGAGATAAACGTTTAGGATAGATCAGATGGGATATCTCATTTTTAGTAATAGGAGATTAGGAAGATTATGACCTTTGGATCAATGGATCTGGGTCCCATCCGATGGCCATTTGATTAAGGTGAAGATTCGTCCAGATATCTTCATTTGGGTTGGCGGCCCCACCAAACAACAAAAAGGTCACAAAAACACGTTGATTAAATTAAAGTATATTGTAAACGGACAAGTTTCAGCGGCGCCTCTGGGTGACTACTGACTGGGTCGGAGACTCGGAGCCCGGATCCCAATCAATGAATCAAATCTATGTGCTCCAAGCCGCAGTTGTTTACATCCGACCGTTGGTTGGTTATGTTAAACGTGAGTTCGTGGTATAAATAATGTATGTATGCCAAATTAACTGGTAAGGTAAAATTCAGAGAATTGACAGCAAGGCCAGGAAATCCACATACATTTTCTTAAAAGAATAAAATATAAAAGTAGATGAACTTGTAACAAAAAAAAGGGTGGAGTTATAATCATCAACAGAATTAGTAAACGAGTAAATCTCCAACAGAAAGAAAATAATAAAAGAGGTTAACAAAAGAAACTGCGAAGTGTTGGTGAAAGTATGATTCAAATATATCCGCAAAAGACATCAAACCCTCAAACATTACAACCATTACCCGACAGAGAATAACTACATTCACCCGATAATTGTGAACAGACTTAACCATGGATGGCAAACCATGGTATCGATCGCCCTCAAACCACTGGTATCGATCGCCCGACACAGGATATCAAAGACAAAGCAACCCTCTTGTCAAAACCCCTGCAGAAACAAAATAAAAAGCACAAAAAAGAGGTAAAGAAAAGAAAAAAAAAAACGCTGGGAAATGGTTGAACAAAAGAACGCTTGGGAAAAAATAAAATGTACTTAAATATTTATCTTTCAAAAAAAATATGAAATGAAATTTTATGATACATCCTTCACCAAAATTCAAGAGGAGCAATCCATGCGTTGTTAGGAAAACATGATTTGTGAAGAAACAAGAATATTTTTATTGGGAAAAGAAGCATAGTAGCATTAAATTTGTTGATGTCAAATATGAAGACGAGGGCAACAACATAATTTCTAGTGTATGAGATTGACGGGTCCAATTTGCTAAGAGAAAGAAGATGTCAAAGGCCCCGGGAGTTATCCCGTGGACGGAGACTCTGACAATCAAGTTAGTCAAGAGCTACAAGGGGTTGGACCAAGCAACAGATGAGACTTAGAACTTAAGTTCCAATGTGTGTTTACCTCAATGTGGGAACCCATTTTTATAATCGGAGTTGCTTAAGAGGAGGAATAGTTGGGAGTAGGTGATGGCAATTGGCAATGGTTGGTGATGTGTGGCTAGGATATGGTCGAATGATGCCACATGTTAAGGTCTACGAGATGGTCGAGATGCGTTCGGCAGACGCCACGTGTCAATATCTGTAGGTTGGTTGAATACCACTATATCACTTGCTCCCCCCACTCTCGAGGCCATAGCAATTGAGGTTGTTAGGTGGGTTGTGTTGAGACATTGGCTTTGGCCGAAGAGAGTATAGTGTACTTGCGTGGAGGTGTTGGCCTTAGCTACAAAGCTCTTCTCAGGGGTTGTGTCGCAACTGCTCCTCCGTTCTCCCTTTGTATCAGCAAATGACTATCTCGGGCCGAAGGGTCGTGACCGTGGCCCATGTGGGCATAGGTTCGCGCCTGTTGTTCGTGCCTTACACGAGCGTTGATGTCCCCCGTCATATGTCCATACGCACGACGGGTGTCGGGGTCAACTGAATGAGGTCATCCAGGAGACGGTGCAGGGGGGTCCAGATTGGCGTATCCTTGAGCAAGAGTCGATGGGTAAACCGACCCCGTCTCTTGGCATTGTTTTGTCTCTCGAGGTTAGTACCACGTGGAGCCCATCGGTTCGGGCTGTCATATCAGCAAGTCCATGGTTGTTGCATCAATTGGATCTGAGTCATGCATTTTTCTTTAAATAGGGAGGCTAGTTGAGCGACTCCCCACCATTTGCTCAAAACCTTATGCTTGGGAGTTACTAATGACACCTCGGCTATCAAAAACCAATTCCCTTAAACTTTCTTTAACAAACATCTTTTGGTAAAAGGATTATTGTCCTCAACATGTTGGCCTAGGAATCGGGTTATGAGGAATACAACCTTCCTAACTGGATTATTCCTAGAAGCACTCCTAATAGTGATGGGAGTGACACTAGTGACTCCAAGAGCTCCTATTGGACGTCTAGCACCCAAGTGCTAATGGAGAGAGTCGCATATCACGGGGCTGAGCGTAATCAATAGAGTGTGGGCTCTGTCAATGAGAACACCAGTTCCATGCGACCGAGGGCCAATGCCTTAGGGAATGTTCTTGGGCACCCTAATGTGGTTGATGTGGAGGAGGCTAAGGAGCCCACGGCCGAGGCTGAGCGCAAAGGCATGACACTGGGGCATTACCCCCACTCTGACTTAGACAACATTCTCAACAAGATGCAAGTTAGCGCGTTGGTCGAGAGATACCACATTCTGGGGACTATAGGGTTAGAGTCCCCTGCATGGGTGACAGGTCGTGGCTTGCTCCTAGAGGGGAGGTGTGCGCCCATGAGCATTACCTTCACTTTAGGTTACGTTTTCCCCTGCACCCCCTCATTCCCGAGATCTTGAACCATTACAACCTGACCGTTAGCCAACTCTCCTCCAATGTTGTTATGACGATAGTGACCGTATTGGTGATGGCACATTTCCAAGAGGTGACAGTAACACTGAATATATTTTGGTGTTTGTTTCGCACTGAGGAAGCACCCTGACGGGGAGGGCTTGTTTTACTTCCAAGTCGACGGGGAAGGGTGGTGGACAAATCGTCGTTTGTCCACAACTAGAAGAAAATTTCTTCTTCATGAGTTGCCCCGAGGGCTGGTCCTTTCGGTCTGGTTGGGGGAGACTAGACACTATGACCAAGAGGATTAAGCTACGCAGCTGCAATGAGGACAAGGTTGTGATGACTCGACTTTGGCTGGGCAGGATGATTCACATTGGACCCTTGGTGAATGAGGATGAGGCCTTGGTGATGGCCAACCTTAGTCCTGCCCCCCTTGGTATGGACACTTTCACTGTTTGCCAGTTGTGAAGTTGCTTGAGTTTTGTTAGCATTTTTCTAACTCATTTGCTTCTCTTGTTCGTTGAAATGGAGAATGACAGAAAGGCGAAGTTGCTTGCCGTGGCATCAAAGATAGCTGCTGGGAGCACACCTCGGCGTAAACCAGCGGATGGGGTCGCAAGACAACGGACCGAGGCCAAGGTGGCCCGTAGAAAGACATAAACACAGGAGCGCCTTACCGAGACGGCCCAAGACCCTTAGGCCAAAAGGCTTCAGCTGCGCGAGCAGCGTCGGCCCAAGGGGACCTTTGGTGTGTCACACTAGGCAGAGCCCTAGACGTTCGATTATCGGGACAATGAGCCGCTCACCGCTCATTGGATCTTCTAGCCTAGGTGGAGTGTTCAAGAGGGGGACTCCTTGTCAGTCCTAGGCGTAGGCTAGCAACAAGTGGTTGGCATGGTCCTCCCCGGGAACCGCCAGTCTTGGACCCAATATTCGGTGGACAGTTTAGTACACACTGTTGGACAAGGCAACTGAGGTAGATGTATACTACTTTGCGTCTATCGTGTCATTGAGGTCTTCTTGGTTTGTGATTGACGTTTTTCCTTTCTTACGTGCAAATGGTATCTTGCTCAATCGGCCTCTGTGACAAGGTCGAGGGGTTGAACCACCTGGTAAAGTCCTTGGCTGGTTAGTTGGAATGTTAATCGAACTATATTTTTTTTAATTAAAAAAAATGAATGAATTATAGCTAACCAGCGGACTGATTGGCCAACCTTGGGCAAACAACATAAATTGATTGTGGAGATTTTCTTTTTCAAAGTTTGTATCTCTGTGTTAAACACTTGGAGATCTAGTACCTCACGCTTTTTTTTTCCATTCTTTTGTAAGTAAGATACTTCATTTAACTAGAAAAAAGAAAATACAAAAGGAACCATACAAGGTACAAAGTATCAGAAATATAAGGTATATTAAAAAACAATTTTAAGAGATGTATCAAGATATACACTTTGGATATGTATGGATATGGATAAAAAATCAATATATACATGAAAAATCAAATAAATCAAACACGTGTATATAACATAACGTTTATGACTTGCATAGAAACCAAATTCTTACCAAAGAAAAAAAAAGAACACAGGGCACGTGTCATCTTTATACAATATAGGTTCTCCATCATCACATAATGTAAAACATATCATTTCTCTTTTTTTTTATGTAATTTTATTTATTTTTCAAATTTTCATTAAAAAATCTTGTACCTATTTATAACTTCTAAGGGAGAAGAGTCCAATTATCCCATCCAACCATTTAAAATGCATTGATGCAACTTTTAAGTGAATATGTAACCAATACCTTTTCACTATTAAAATAATTATTTTTGCATTTTTATTCCATAATTACAAAAAAATCAAAAAAGGAAATAGATCATCCATATATCCACAATAAATCACATTTTATTATTAGATCATATAAAAAATACAACTTTTCCATTTTTTAACACAAAGAATAAAGCAAGATATATTCAAGCAAAAAATAATAAGTACATGATATTAAAGAAATTGAGAAAATAAACCTATTTTGCAAATTTTGCCCAATGCATATTTAGGTTCTTTTTTTTGAGTTTTAACAGAATTTCCATTTCTCTTGTC